TATGGAAAATCGAAACTGATATTTATCACATACTTTATTGTTTCAATTATAATTTTCAACGACGATGGCGAATAATAAAAAGGTTATTGTGGGACGATGACTTCACAAAATATATTTTCAATAATAAATCATTTGTAATCTATTTTTCAATTAAATTATGTGATAAAATGATTTATAATCATCATTGGACTACGTTACGGACATACCCAACAGCGGACGAACGGGTGATAGAACGGTGTTCCAAAAACCTACTGAACGGGCGTTCAAATCAATTTCGAACTAGTTCCGTGGCCATCTGGAACGGGTCAAGGCGTTCGAACGGGGTTCAAGAACCGGACTCGTTCAAAGAACTGTAGGGAGTTCAACAACCCGTTCCACATGGTCTATTAACGCCCGTTCGCCTACTAGTTCCTGTTTCTCTTTTGTCCGCCACTTCAGAGGGAGTTCAACCACCCGTTCCAACGGGCAGTTTGAACGGGCGTTCGAACGCCCGTTTCTCTTTCGTCTGTCACTTCAGAGGAAGTTCAATCACCCGTTCCAACGGGCAGTTTGAACGGGCGTTCGAACGCCCGCTCATACAATTGTTCCTGTTTCTCTTTTGTCCGCCACTTCAGAGGGAGTTCAACTAGTATATTAAACATCGATGTTAACTGTATTGATGTAGAGAAAAACAAAATCAAAGTTGCTTCATTGTAAGAGAGGGCGAAACATCCCTAAAAGAGCATGAAGAATATGACTTTTTTAGCAAACAAATATGGGATTCTATGTAACCTTATATGCTCCACATGAGAAGAGTCTTGAAATTTTTTCGGCTGTCATGACTGCCTAAACTGGCTGACCTAAATGAAAGTACCCTTCGTGTAATGAGCGAACTACTATCATCGCCAAAATAAAAGGCGGCTCACTATATTCTCAATAACTTTTTAAAGAAAAGAGATAGCAACCTGCAATTTTCAGATTATGAAAATAGACAACCTTTGCGACATATCCATGTGCAAACCGAAGTCCGCGGACCGCCTGCAGGTGGTAAGCTTTGTGCCTCGTCCAAAGACTTGGTTGGTAAGGTACCTCAAAAAAAGAATTTCTTTTCGTTCTGTTTGGGTTTCGAGCAACTGACCCTTGCCCTACAAAGCCATAAACCTTTTCCTTAGTTTCTCCTTGTCCTCCCGGATAAGGCGCGGGTTTCTAAGGACCTATCCAAAGCACGCTTTTTTCACTTCTACCCGAGTGAAAATACTCTACATATAAGTTCTCCACCACGCTGATTCACGTGGCATCATTTTCAACTCAATAGGAATATTTTTTGATCGATAAAAAGTTACCCGTGTGATGAAATATTAGTTTTTGTTCATTGATACATATCCTGTCACATATCAGGCATTTATTTAGCTATGTTTAATAACAATATATATCTAATACATCGAACCCTAATCTCGGTTATTAATGTGTAAATAGTATTCACTGCAGACATCCATCATTACATAGATAAAGATACACTTACGCTCAACGCAAAAATGACTCATATTCCGTAGGGGTATTACCAGTCGATGATGATGTAGATGGAGAATCGTTGGAATTACTCGAATCACTTGTTTCTTGTATATTCATTTCATCACTTAAACATTTAATAAACTTCTTCTGCTTTTGTTATATCCGATGGTTCCAATAACACAAATTCATGAGGATGTAAATAAGTAGCAGCACGCATTAATTGTGATTGTTCGAAATTATCAACACTTGGGAAATAATGTGTCAGATATGCTAACAAAGCTTCTTTCATAGTTTTTACATCAGTCGAATTTTGTTTGATTACTTAAAAATTGTCTTAACCCTTTCAATGCATTGAATGATTTAGCTAATGTTGCATATAATGAACTACTCAAAACATTGACTACCAATTGAAACGGTCGCAGCACAAAGCATAAATCACTTATTAAAGACCATTCTTCTAATGACAAATAAATTTTTTGAACTTAGCTTTATTTTGTTTCTTATTATCACTTAATACCACTAAAATGTATGGTTTCAATTTCAAAATTCTTTCCAACATTTGATATGAACTATTCCATCGAACCCTAATGTCGGTTATTAATGTGTAAAAATTTTCTTTTTTATTTATTTCATTTTTATTTCATTTATTCACTTTGACCGACGAAAATGATTAACAAAATTACGACATTTGATCATTAAATTAGAAATATTCGCCCATATAATGTATACTATGAATAGTTCTGAATAGTTTTACGTAGTTCTGCATAGTTCTCATAGTTCTGTTAGTTGTCAGTGTATACTGTGAATAGTTCTGCATAGTTCCCCATGTGTACTGCAAGTAGTTCTGAATAGTTCTGAATGTATAGTATGAATAGTTATGCACAATTCTGAATAGTTTTAAATAGGTCTGTATTGCACTCTTTGAATTGACATCAATGGTATTAGCTTGATTAAGATTTGCAGTTTCACAGTTGTCTATTTGAATTGAAACGTGCAATACCTTATCTCCATGTTCTTGCTGATGATGAACGCCGAATTGAAAGCTGCTTCCATTGCCAATGTCGAAATAATTATCGAAAGCGCAAGTTTGGTTGCCTTTGAAAAGCATAAAGCTAATTCATTGTCAAAGTTTTATTTCCTAATTCATCAAAAGACGGCTTACTGACCTATTATCTTCATCCCCCGTGTCTGCCTGCTTCTAATGTACCGTAATGTTTCACTAGATTTTATCCATTTTCTAATGTAGTTCTTAACACTAAATATTTGTTTTAATGAATACCTGTAGGTCAGTAGCTTAATAATACAAATTTGAGAATATCCGATTAATTCTTTTATCCGTCAGCATGCTTTATAATCAATGGAGGGGGAACTTCCGGCCGGTGCTCTACAACAAAACGTACATATACACTTTGAGATCGACCGTACAGCGTACAGGTACACTTTGGAGTTAAATTCAAAATCGAATCATACAATATGTCGTTGACAACAAGGAAGAATGGTACAATTATTCAAGAATAAATTGCTTAACTGTCCACACACATATTCTGTCCGACACAAGAAAGAAAATTCAAAAACGAAAACACATGTTATGAATATAACACGGAAGCCGTCAGGAACTGTAATGAGCGACTTTTAGGCAATAACTAGAAAGAAAAAGAAATTTGAATACACATACAGTGTGATGCAAAATTATAACCCCACTAATAAATTATATTAAGAAAAATGCAAAAGGGCTCATATTCGAATGTTAACTTAAATATGTCACGACATTAAAATTATTAAATTTATATGTTTAAATTTCCTCTTAATTTGAATTTTTTTAAAAAAAATAAAAATTCGATGGTGCATAATTATAACCTCGCTATATATTTTTAATCGAAACTGGTAACAAACTTAGAATTTCTTTTGAATTTTTTTTTATTTAGATACTTCGTCCTCTAAATTATATAAATAAAAAACTGCACCGAGATTGTGCTCTTTCCGAACGAGAAAAAGGCCAAATTGATTTATTGCACCGACAAAAGCTTTCAAATCGCAAAATTGCTGAAAAAATCAAGCGATCTCCCGGTGTTGTTAACAATTATCTATCTAATCTGGCTAAATACAACATAAAAAAGCGAACTGGTAGAAAACCGATGATAAATAATCGATTAAGACGGGAGATTATAAGAAAGCCAGTAATCAAAGTTTATCGTGCAAGAAAATTATTGACGAATTATGCATCAAGCATCAAGATGGGCAGGAAATCATGTTCTTCGAAGCTCGAACACTCTAAAATTTGCTAAAAGGAAATCATCCCCACCTTTAACCAAAGTTCATAAGGCCAAACGATTAAAATGGGCAAAAGACCATATGACTTGGAATCGCGAGTGGGAAAAGTAGTCTGGTCGGACGAAAAAAGGTTTAATTTGGATGGACCTGATGGTTTTAACTACTATTGGCACGATTAGCGTAAAGAAAAATGTTTTCGGCTAGGCGAAATATGGGTGCTGGTAGTATAATGATATGGGCGGCCTTTCGTCCCAATGGAACAAGCGATATTTGCTTTATTGACACCAGATTGAATGCAAACGGGTATCGAAAGGTATTAGAAAATCATTTGGTGAATATTGGCACCACGTTTGGCGTAGATGATTGGCTTTTCCAGCAAGATAATGCCCCAATTCATCAAGCAAAGGCTAATTTACCATGGTTCAGAGCCAAAAAAATTAAATTATTAGAGTTTCGCCAGAATTAAATCCCATCGAAAACTTGTGGAGAATATTAGCGAGACGCGTTTATACCGGTGAAAGACAATTTTATTCTAAAGAAGAGCTAAAAAAGCAATTAAAACTGAATGGTCGAAAATAAGTCTTATTGAAATGAAAAACTTAGTTTCGAGTATGCCAAATAGACTTTTCGAAATTATAAGATCTAATGGCGCGAAAACAAAATATGAATAAATAAAAAAATCTAATTAAAAAAGCCTTCTTACTTTTTAAATTGAAAAAGATTAAAATGAGGTTATAATTTTGCACCATTTCTTTTTAATGATTTTTGATAATTTGTTTAAAATAAAAGCGCTAGACACCAACTTTTGCATGTGAATATGCAATATGTTGTTATTCATAATTATAGAAAAAAAAGATCCTTCTCATTTTTTTAATACCAAAATGCGTGAGGTTATAATTTTGCACCGCACTGTATATATCAGAGAAAATAACCTTGCTCTAGCTGCTCGACAAAAAGAATGAGAAATATTTCCCATTCTTTTTGTATTCTTAAAGTCTATTCTCTTAACTTGATTAGTTCTGTTCGACATCGTTTCATCTAAACAACCTGTTTAGACGTTCTTACACGCTACAGAGCAAAGTATATTTCAATGAATCACGTATGATTGCAGCTGAACTATTCATATTTATAAACTTATTTAAGCTTTCGAATAAACTTTATTCATCATCAGAAAATACAACAAGTTATAAAATGTACGTATAGAGTGAACTGTCTAACACACTTATATATAAGATGCACCCAGGGCAGCCTTGCAGTGAAATTTATTTTTCGACACTTCATACACCATTCGATAGAGAATTTCGCGGTGATCACGAATATCACTTCCAAGGCTCTCAGAACCCTTTCCTCACT